CTGGTTTTTAGTGACCACAGCAGATACTGTATTTTTCGATGTACAATACGTTTACAGATAGAATAATTGGTATTTGTCATTTCACTGATTCTTTATCACTATATAGGTTCAATGGTCACCACATCATGAAACTATTCTTGCTAGCTCAGGTACCGATCGACGTCTACATGTTTGGGATCTTAGTAAAATTGGTGAAGAACAATCAGCTGAGGATGCTGAAGATGGACCACCGGAATTACTGTTCATTCATGGTGGACATACAGCGAAAATCTCAGATTTTTCGTGGAATCCAAATGATGCATGGGTTATTTGTTCCGTATCTGAAGATAATATATTACAAGTGTGGCAAATGGTATGTTTTCTCTTATTGTGAGAACTTATCTAGTTTATAGCATAGTTGGGTTTTGAATTATCCTGTTTTTTGATATTCAGGATTAAATTCTTCATCTGTCTTTTAACATGTATGCGTCCTAAACAGCTATTTTATCACACATCATCATGGATCGGTTGTAGCCAGCAGTGAAGACAAGGATGCGCGTCTTGTCATAACTGAAACTCGTCAGCCGTTCGTACCTGCATACCAAGGTTGACATTCACATTAAGAGTTAAACCCAATACCTTTCGATTCAAAGGCCAATGGTTTGCGTACTCAACGGGTCACCGACATTGCCGTGTTACAAGTGGTTGAAAAAATTGGTTGTTTTAATATCACCATTATACTTTCTTACCACTATCAAGCAATCTAAAGTAACTAACGAAAAGTCCTAAACCTTCAGATTTATTCTTATCCAATGTACATATAATCTGGACTGATTTTACTAATGTGATTGAGATCAGTATCATTATTCACCTTTTTTGAAAATTGGGAATGTTACTACTGACAGGATCTATCATATAATGGTCTCTGAGTGATTAAGGTGTTCAACATTCAACCATTAGGTCAAAAGTGCGAGTCTAGACCTACGTGTTTCTGTTTATGCATCCGGGTAGTAGAGTAGTAATAGTAGTAGTACCGGTGGTATCATTAGTTCTCACGCATAAAATGTAAGTCGAAAAGTCCATTACACAAATATGTACAAATTTTTGGATGAGTTATATTAGACTACTCGATAGTGAAAGAGAAACGTGTTGTAACTCAACTAATTCAGTGTTTGCATATTTCTCTGTGTTTATTATTTCAGGCTGAGAATATTTACAATGATGAAGAACTTCCACTGACCATTGAAAATGAATAGATTTATATTCAATGTGCATTTCACACTTTTTTCCCATTTTTTTTATCTACACATCACTACTATCATACTTATTTACTAAATGAAAAATAAGAACAACTTATGTAACTAATCTGATGTTTTCTTTTGAATAAAAAAGCATCTATGACTGTATCTTTGTTTGGGGGATAGTTCCCATTTCATACAGTAATATTATCAGCTATTAATCACAAAAAGTATGTTGTTCCATCATGTTGACTAATCTACTCCGCAAATTGATTACACCATTTGATAGACGTATTCCAGGGAGTTGGATAAAACATAGTTCTTCTGTTGGTTGCTTCAATCTTGTAAATGATCAGCCTATGTGTATACTGTGTAGAGTGCCATTAAGTCATAGGCATTATAAACAGACATGGATGGTGGTTAGTAGTAGAATCTAGAACAAATCTTCCGTCCTATAGTTCTTATGACCCTATGGGTCATGTCTTTCATATTGTCAGCATGTTTTGCTAAGAACTTATTACACAGAAAGGTTTTTATTGAATATGTTCTTAGGACTGCTATATGGAATTACCACATGTCAGATATTTAATACTAGTTTTTGATTAGTTGGCAACGTCGCTCTATCATGTGTGAATACTTGCCCTCTTAGGATCACCAAGTTGAATATGAGTAGAGGGGAAATGACTGGTTTGTGATACAGGCTGAACAAGTATTAGGCGGAGTTTAAGCCCGACAACTCATTGAGGAGAATATCACCTTTTTATTAATAAGTAACAGATATACAATAAGTTTTATGGTTGAAATCGTTGATAGAACTAGAGAAATTTACGGAGAACTGTTCGGATATAATTCTGTCCCATGTGCCGTAAAGTATTGAGGTATTCTTATGATGATAAGATGTATCTTCTAAAGCTATAAACAACCATGAGAAACCAATGATAAAACTATAAGAATAATTTTTATTCCTCAATAATCACATAGGACTCTACAGGGATGTTTTGTTCGATATGGAATATATAGTTACGCTCATTAAAATGTCAGAATGAGCTACTTCCTAGCGCACAACTACTTATGTCGAAATATGAGGCAAAAAGTTTTAGACCATTAGTCGTTGGTAGCAGATCTGGTAAGAATGTGTAGCAATACAAGTTTCCATATATTGAACTTACGCGACTATACTCCGTAAGTCAGCTTTTTCAAATTGAGAAATCACAGTTAAAAATGGTTTACAATTCAAGTCATTGATCATTCGTAGACGGCTTTAGGTCTTATATGAACGCATGTGGAATGGTGTTTATGGAGACAAACCAATTGTTGCACCCATTTTAGTGATATCAATAGTCCTTATGTTTAAGCTGTAACTCGAAACAGAGAACACGTTTGTACTTCGTTGTTTAATGGAGCGAGTTTCCACAGCTCAAAATAGTGATAGAGGAGGTTAGTAGCATGAGAAGTCAGGGGTAAAAAATGTCATAAGTGGGAAGTCGAGAAAATAAAATGATTTATGGCTAAGAATTTAAAAGATGAAGGAAACACTGGGTTCGCAATCACTCATTGTTTTCATACATCATCTTTATACAGCTTTATTAATTGCGATCCGGTTCAAATAATGTTTTTGTTGTCTATACATCATACATAGCTTTCCTACTGTATGTTTTCGATCAACTTCCTAAACAATTCCACTTCCGAAGAAAAGTATACTGTAAGCATCATTTTATATTAGTTTAGATTTGTGAAGAGGAGATGTAGAATAACTACTTCCAAGCAGTATGCTAATGATCAGAGTTTGACTTTCCGCCACTCAGTCCCGCCACAACTACTTTGGTTTAATTAGCTGGGTAGTATCATTAGTCCTCACTTAAGGTGTAGCTCATAGCCAAGCACCTGGTAGATGAATTAACTTAATCGAAATAATCTATTAGAATGAAATTAATGTATACGTGTGAACTAATCTCACTTCCCAACTATTGAATTACAGGTATATACAAATAATTTACACTTCAAACTAAGTAGCAATACACTAATATCATGTATCTTCTGTCATAAACAGCGTAGAACCTGAGATATAGGTGCTTCGGTCCAAGCAGTCACATAGTGTCAACACAGTTAAAATGAAATTGTCAAGATGAATGCCAGAGTACTAAATGTAGCAACAGTATTATTATTAATAGAAGAATAGAGATAGACAATGCGATTTGGAGGGAGGAAAAGTATCAGATAATTTTAAAACTAAGATAAGACAAAGCGAATATATTTACGTCATTACTACCGATTCTGAGTTGTACAATCACATAACATATACGCAAACGTTCTAGTTTAGAGACGAACAACCCGACTGTTGTTCATAGTTATATAATATACCCTTGTGGGCCAGGGTAATTTTACATTGGTTTTCAGTAGAATCAGACTTTCACGTGACAACCCAAACAGTACAGCTTAACCCCGTTTAACAGGAGAGCCAGAAACCGCCCAGGCTCAAATTTTATAAACCGAGCAGTACATTTCAATCTCGCTTCACAGGAGAACCAGACACCGTATAGGCTTTAACGCTACAATCTGAATAGTACCGCTCAATCCTGTGGCACAACCACACAGGTACCAAGCACCCTGGTGGGCTAACGAATGTTGTAATATATATATAAGGTATGTTTATAAAAGAAAAATATATTTCAGGTCTCAGTAGCTGAGTGGACAACTGTTATATCTAGAAGGTTGTTCTTGATATACCGAGTATAACGTGAGTACTAGAGCGCCAGAACCCTTCCAAGTCGCAATGAGAAGACAGAAGACCAATGGAAGGAATATTATAACCAGACAGTGTCAATTATAGTACAAAATTGTCAGGTATTTATAGTTTTTAGTAAAAATGAAATCATCATTACAGTCCTCCAATCTGCATACAGGGGGTTATTAGCATTGTCCAATCGGGAAGCTACACGTAGGATTTCTAGGATATTCTTCCAAAAGGTGGTTGGATGGAATATCTTCAGTTCCTTCTGAGCTTCCTCGAGTTCACCCGTGGTCCGTCGTCACAATAACGTGATGGCGTTTGAAGTGAATGGTACTGGGTTCGAGTGTCAGAGTAAACATCAACTCTGAGATGCAAGTACATTCAACTAACGAGTCCCAAACAGGATGAGGCACGCATTCTAGACTCCACTTTTTTAAATATTATTTGAACACATAAATATTGATACAAGAGGGCACCAAATATATATGCGCCACACTTTGTGTGAGGGCTGTGATACTGCTCGGGTGCCCAGATCGAAACAGGTGGTTTTCTTAGGGGGCCACATCCGGAGCCTTTGACCTGAACGTCTGATCTACAAGACAGTGGGGCATCGTAAGAAGATGTAGTCCCATGGAAGCCGGTGACTAACAATTGCTTCATACTCCATTTGTTCCTTCAGGATACTGGAGCCCATGTGCACCATTGGTTTGGAATCCGGTTAAATTGTCGGGCATTCGGCTTTTGTCCTTTCAATTTCGTAAACAACACCCCCACCACGAGAAGGCAATGAGTAGGACTTCCCTGGCAGAGGTTGTGTACGCGTGGCCATGTGCAAGCATGTGAAGAGGGAGAGCGGACTCTCCCCACTGTCGGCCATACCAGGGCATTTAGGGGCCTAGATTCCACTACTAGTCCCTATCCACCTTTGCTTATAAAACTTGTGGATGAAGGCAATACGCACAAGATGGCACATATGCCAATATCAAACTGATCCATTGCAATGTTAAACATCAATGGGAAGATTCAAGCAACAAGAATAACAACAACAACAATAATAATATCAAATGAATTTATTTCTATAAAACATACACACTCACATCTATTTATTTCTTTTTCTGTTTACGTTCTAATTTATTTTGTTCATCAGATTCATGAATTAATTTAATAAATTTTGGATCTTTTCTACTTGGATAAAAACCGAAACGATCTCTTGCCTTAAAAAAGAAAACAAGCATTCAAAAATGATCCATATGCCAACACTTACCTCTTCCATAAACATTTTCATTTTATCCTTTTTCATAATATTCATAGATAATTGTTTCTCTTCTTGATTATGAAATTTTTTTAATAATTCAGGCATTTTATTTAAATTTTTCTTGATTTTTAACATTCTAAAAAAAATTGAAAATTAAAACAAATTAAAGATTCAATTTACAATGTTTCATTATTCAATCTTGTTTTATTCTCTTGTTCTTTATTCATATGAACTATTTCTAGAATGGAATTTTCTAATAGATTTTCTTTAGTTTTTTCATAGATTATTTCATGTTCATTCATAAATAATAAAGATGGATTAATACCACATTGTAATCCATATTGACCAAATAAACATCTTTGATAATCTTCTGTTTTTTCTTTATAATGAATTAATTGAAAAAATTCTTTAGTTGGTTTTATTCTTTTATTTAAATGAGATGGTAAATGTGATATATCGAAATATTTTAATTCTATGGGAAGATTTGAATGAAGCCATTCTTGATTCCATTGATCATAAGAATTTAATTTAGATTGTGTGATTGTTTGATAATCATTCAAATGAAATGGAATCCACCAATGACGATAATATTTTTTATTTCTAATTTGATAAAACACTATAGATTGTTGATGATGAATTAATTGTTTATTTACATGAGTAAATAAATGAATCATTTAAAATCTATAAAATCAAAGAGAACAAAAAAAACACAATGATGAAATTACCATACGTTTAGTGTTAAATGACTTAACCAGAAAGATATAAGTAGCAGAGTTTCTAGTGATACTAATTTTACTTGCCCCCCCCCAACAAATGACTTTGTACAGCTCAGGGTGGTGCGAGTCAACTCTACCTCTCGTAATGCTCTGATATAGACACATGTATACAACTACTATCAGGGAAGTCCTACTCATTTCCTTCTCATATCACGGGTGTTCTTTACGAAATTGAGAGGATGAAAAAGTGAATGTCCGGCACTTTAAACACGTTGGTGGACACGAAGAGTTTACCTAGGGGAGTTGGAAAACTCTCATCTCAAACCAATGATATACATGGGATCCAGCATCTTGAAGAAACAAATGGCGTATGAACCAACTGTTGGTCGTGGGACTGCATCTCCTGACGTTGCTTCATTGTCTTGTGGATCAAACCTTTAGTTGAAAGGCTTCGAGTGTGGCCCCCTAAGAAAATCACCTGCTTTATTTTGAGCACCCGGGTTCTCCTAAAAATCGAATGGCTTATGTGGTGCATATCTATTCGGTGCCCTTTTGTACCAATGTTTGTGTGTTTAAATAAATGAATAAACTTTACTTAAGTCGGTCAGAATAAAATGTTTACATTAGTAAACACATATTCGGTAAATAACTAATAAATAGTAAGAAGCTCATTCTCAAAGCTTTACACTTAACTTTCTATAACGATGATTTCTTTGTGAGTTATCCACGCTGTCAAGACGTTTAAATACAAGACCATGTAGAGCTGAATTGATTTTTAAAATATTTACTACTATAAGGGTATCAAATTATGCCGTACGTTAAGATTTCGACAGAAAATATAGTACCCAATCCCATTATTAATTGAATACTATAAGAAGTGTGTGTTAAATTTCTCGATTTCCCTCACTGAAAATGTACATTTCCTAAATAATGATCCTGAAAACGAAATCAGACCAGTAACGAAGATCTTGCAAGCCTATTGAGATGACCGCATAAACTCAATGGATAACTTCTTGAGGTTGGTATTCTACGATTTTCTTATGAGTAGCTTGTTTTGGACTTTTTCAACCTTAACGCTGGCACCAACAATACTCTGTGCTACTCCTATAAAAAAGCCGTATTACTGGAATAAGTTTTGCAGCCAATATATTCCTATTGAATTATTACTATAAGTAAGCTCACCCGCAATACCAAAATCAAAGGTGGGATCTATCGTGGAATTTTGCAAAAAGATCTTGTCGAAAATTAACTAAATACAATTTTCCATTTAGCTTTTCACTGTCCATTATTTTAAGCAATATATATGTCATACCTGATATTACCATTTACTGAGTTATAACTACAGCACGGTATCCAGACAATGAAACTAATTTATAGGTACTAGATAAGCTCTGTAATTTGAAAGACTTCTGGGAAAACAGAACAACAGATCATATTTGATCAACATATGCTACATTAAATGACATATAATATGTAATATCTTCAAAAATAGTAGTTAGTTGACAATAAAGACGGATAAAAAGTCCAGTAAATTAGATAAATCTGTTATGTAAGAGCAAGAGGTGAAAATTTAAGCGCGTTTCAAGATACTCAACTGGAAATTAATGCAAAATGTAGTTTCTTTATCAATTTAGGAACAAGTGTATTCTCTAATTTGTTGACTTCGGGGATAATTTCGTTAATTGTGGGGATAATGAGACTAAATACAACAAAATTTCCCTTGACCTGGGGTTTTTAACTTATTTTTGTGGTTTCTCCTAATATTTTATGTAATGAAAACTTACCATAATAACTCATTACAGTGCATTTTCTTAATGGACACTCATAATCCACATCGATATGATCGGCAATTTCTTTAGACGTTATATTCCCCCTGTGGACAAACAGTTGGTTGTTCAAAAGTCAACTGCTAGGTATAAATATCTGCATTTCCTCCTTATCTTTATGACGTAGGCTTTTGATTGATGCCATGAGTTAATTTTATGGCACTATAAAATTTAGAAGTGTTGCATTAGATGGGGATAATAACCCCATATTATTGCATAGCGATTGAGATATACTTACGACGTATATCTGTCATCGTAATCCGATAGCGCGTGGAATGATGGGACTTAACTGCGAACAGAGGCAAATAACGTTCGTGTACAGTGAAAAATCCGGATATTTCTCAACAAAGTATGTATCATATGATTCCCTAAAACATTGAAATTTGGGGAGTTTTCTAAAATATTTATATATACACCAGTCCTACGGCGCAAATCCAGACCAAAGAGAAATTTCTGGTTTCATTTGCTTTGTCGTCGGAATTACAAATGGGGCTTATCTGAAGTTCCCCGAAAATTATCGAGATTTGCCCCCAAAGCACTAAGATTGAGGGATGTTTATGGAGTAAATTAAAGTCAGAAAGAGGTTGCCTTGTGATTGAATGCTGCGTCGAGCAAACTCATCAACAGATTAATGACAAGGTGATTAGGAATTTACCCGAATTTAAGGGATATTTAAAAGAAGTTACGGTGACGCATAACACTGAATTAAGCGCAAATATAATAAGTGTCTACAAACCTCATTCTTTTCTGAAGAGAAATATTGTCAGCCGCTTAATACTTCAGCTTTATAATTAAGAAATAAGGAATTATTTTCAATCACGAAGACCTATAATTATTGTTCTGCATCCTTGTGAGCTTAGCAGTGAAAATATACGTTAATAAAGGTCGTAGCGGTTGAGGAGTACGGAAATCGAACTCACTACGTGAGTAACATGAGTAAATAATCACAATACATTCAATCACTTCAGTAGAACGTGTCGTTATGGTTTTCACTGTGGAATTTTATAATCTCTGGATTCTAATCACAAAAAGGTTTACATGAACCTTTTGTAACGGCTCTTCCGTGTTCTATACTGATGGGGTGTATTTTTAATTGAAGTGTATTGGCGCATCACACAAGTTGTCTATATGATTTGTGAGGATCGTGAGTTTCATGATAGGTCATGATCTTGTTGTCACTAATCCATCTGTGCTTTAAAGATTGTAAGGTCAGTATTGTCAGATGTTTTTAAAGTAGCAGTAGAACAAAGTATAAGGTATTTCTAGCTAAGGGCTTAAATAAATACTGATATATATTTTGAATAGTTTTTCAGTCAGCGAACCTAAAGTTCTAGCGAAACACCCATGGTACCGTATACACTGTTAGTCATAGGATGAAAATGCGACGAGAAAACTAGGAATTCGCAAAGAGTGATTTCCGATTTCTATTCAACGGAGGGGAGTATTGTAGTGACTATCATTCCTGATCGTTACCCGTGCCACGCATTCACGACTTGACAGCTACCTTAAAATGTACAGCTGTTTTCTCGCAAATCCATTTGGTTAAGGCTTATGACCAAATTCCTTTGTCCGCTGACAAAATTCAATAAACCTCTATCATCACCCCTTTCAGAAGCAGTACCCATCAAGGACATTAATGCTGAAACAGCGACTTGCGTCTTTGTCGAACGATGGGAAAACGTCTCAGCTGTTATTACAGATCGTCGACTCCAATCCGAATCTAAGCTTTTCCGTTGTCTTGCTGCACTACTAGAAATCGCATGATTCCGGACGATCACCCATCATCCACAAGCTAGTGGTTTGGTAGAACGACATCACTGACAGTTGAAGACTTCACACTCGGTTGCTAACGTATGACATTGGACTGACGTTCTTCCATTTATGTTTCTCGATATTCGCAATGCAGTGAGAGCTGACATTAGACACATTGGAGCACAGCTCATTTACGGAATGACACTCCGACTCTCAGGAGAATTTGCGGATCCTTCATCTTCTTCAATGATTCAGTATATCTGAACTTCTACACAAACATGTTTGCAAACGCCATGCGTTCAAGTAAACCTATTTCTACTTTATCGCAACCAACTGGCGTTTTTGGCTGACCTATCTTATGATTAAGTATGAACATCTCCCTACGTGACACAATACGCCAACCCTATCAAGGCTACATAGGAAGGACACTCCACGGTTCTTAATCATGTGCTTAAGTACTATACAATAAGAATGGAAATGAAGATAGCATCAATGCTGACCGTCTTAAAGCCGCTTACCGAGAAGGGAACGCTTACTATGTCGTTTCTCCTCTGAATAATCGAACAATTAAAGCCTCAAGACTACAATCCAATCTTCAGTAATCAACGATCTTGACGAAACTTTGCTAGAATATGAAACCCAGTACTAAACGAGGCGTTTAGGAAGAACAGCAAGGTTTTCGATACAGTGATGCGGTCACTACATGTAAGACATCGTACATGATCTTGCTAAATGCATCCGAAAGAATTTCTTCTAAATTTACACACTTTCGCATGTTATATATATGCTTATACACAGAGTTTTTGCGTGCTTTTCGCTTCTATGCTCAATTACGTGTGTATTTCGACATGTACTTACATTATCTGTATCTTTACTTTCGCTGGACAGCTGGGAAAGTTGAAAAACCAACGAAGAATGCAGAACGGAGCTAATTATAGCATCACAATGTGCCGTCTTAAAGCCACTTATTCAGGAGACCCTAATCATGTCAATTTTCTTCGGTACAACCGAGCGACACGAGCCCCACGATTGCGATACCCCACCCAATAATCATCGGTTATAAAGAAACTTTAGTGGTATCTGACAACCGACCTGAAAGAACGCGTTCTGGAAAGAGGGTAATGTTTCCAGAATACTTGAACAACCACTGCACGTAAGAAACATCATAATATTTTGTTTTATCTCGATTGCCTTTTTTATATTGTTTTGCCAAAAAACAAAAAGTTATTTGCTACGCTCACACATATCCTCGGTCAAATTTGAGAAATTCAGATCAAAACTCGGGAAAACTTTTTCCTCATTAAGTATGCACTAATATCGAACCGTCTTCCCTCTGAAATCGCATGGAAGATGAATTACATACGTAACTCACTGGACCTATCGGTACTCGATCGCTAAAAGACGCTCACTACTGACTTATAGGGTCAAAAGAACCGCAAAATCGACTGCCTACTTACTACCAGTGGTCTTGGACTTTGGAACCTGTTACCCATCAAACGGTTAGGGTAGAACAAAATAACGTCAACACCAAGTTAATGTGAGTTCCTTCTTGTCTATTCTTTATCAGCTTTTTACTCTCCAGTACACTATATTGACTTGCCATTAATATTATTTCATCACTAGTTACCTTATCTATAACTCAAATATTTCTATACTTCTCTGCCTGCTTTGGTGAACAACTATCGCACTTTTCTTATAGCCTAATCTCTGATTGACAACCTATACTCTATTCTATATTCAATTAAAGCATTGCATCGATGACTCACCCACAGTCCATAATTTGTAACTGCCTGATAAGCATGTTTGAATTATTTTTTCTGGTAAGCGTTTTTTTAGCGAGTTAGTTTTCTACGGGATGGAGACGCTAACCCCATGCCCAACCCTCCTCCTTTACCCGGGCTTGGGACCGGCAGTAACTCTAGAAGAGCTACAGGCGGAGTCAATATTATCGGGAACTCATACGATGGACTACAGTGCAAGGTCGTGCATGGAGGACAGCTGACAGATGCATCCCAAGTGGAGACCGGAGTCAGACAAGGCTGTCTACTCTCTCCCTCCCTCTTTCTTCTGGTGGTCGACTGGATTATGAAGACCTCGACATCTGAAGGAAAACACGGAATACAATGGACAGCTCAGAACCAATTAGACGATCTGGACTTCGCAGATGACCTAGCTCTTCTATCACGTACACACGAACAGATGCAGATGAAGACAGCCAGTGTAGCAGCAGTCTCTGCATCAGTAGGCCTCAGTATACACAAAAGGAAAACCAAGGTCCTCAAATTCAAAGAGGAGAACAGCAATCCAATCACTCTTGATGGCGAAACTCTGGAAAATGTAGAATCCTTCACATACCTAGGAAGCATCATCGATGGACAAGGAGGTTCAGATGCAGACGTAAAGGCGAGGATTGGCAAAGCAAGGGCTGCATTCCTACAATTGAAGAACATATGGAATTCAAAACAACTTTCAACCAATATCAAAGTGAGAATCTTCAATACGAACATCAAGGCAATTCTACTGTATGGAGCTGAAACTTGGAGAACTACAACAACCACAATCAAGAAAGTACAAGTATTTATAAATAGTTGTCTACGCAAGATACTCAACATCCATTGGCCGGATACCATCAGCAATAGCCTTCTGTGAGAGAGAACAACACAACTTCCAGCTGAAGAGGAAATTAGGAAAAGACGATGGAAATGGATAGGACATACATTACGCAAATCGTCAAACTGTATCACGAGACAAGCCCTAACTTGGAATCCTGAAGGGAAGCGGAAAAGAGGAAGGCCAAAGAACGCATTACGTCGGATAATAGAAGCAGATATGAAAGGGATGAATTACAACTGGAAGGAGCTGGAAAGGATTGTCCAGGACAGGGTTGGAAGGAGAATGGTGGTGAGCGGCCTATGCTCCTTCACGAGGAGTAACAGGCGTAAGTAAGTAAGTAAGTGATAAGCCTGTAAAATGGCACTTATAGAAATATTGTTTTCCAACGGGATGTGAAGCGCAAAACACTATATGAGGTTTGATATGTATCCATAAAATGAGCTTAAATGAGCCTAACATCACAAAAGGAGGGTGGGTGGAGTTACTGACCAGCAAGCTTTGATGGTGAGGGCGATGACTTTAATCCACCCGTGTTTGTGAGGCAGAACATTTTGTATGTACCAGGCTCTCTATGATTGGAAATAAGTCAATCAATCTGTAATATAGATTGTCTTCCTATGCTCACCACTCAGACTCATGTTTCCAATTTTATGTTGGATTAGCTATTCTACTAAGACAAAATATAACAGGCTTATTAGGACTTTCACATTACGACAGTGTTGCAGGCATCGGATGAAAAGAAAAAGAAAAATTCAAACAACAAAAGACATAGTTATTGGTTTTCTTAACACTTTACACTTTATATGCACTTTCTGTTCTGATAAACATTCTTCTTTACTCCAACCCTGACTTCCCCTCCTTCGAGCTTGCTCCACCTTGGTAAA